AAAAATTTAAATGGGGGGGGGTTCATGTAAAAAAAAAAAAAATTTTTTTTTTTTTTTTTTTTTTTTTTTTTTTTTTTTTTACATATTTAGGGATCTGACTGCGAATGACATTTCAAAGCTGTACAAGTTGTCAATTATCAGCCGGAATTGCGTGATGAAGTCCTGACAGTCCTCAGAATAAAGCAGCACAATATTAGTAAAATATGATACTGAAATATTATTCTTCAATGTTGTGATGACAATACTGATTAAGTCACATTTTTCTCTTTTTCATCCTCATGATTTCCTCAATATATCAGTAAGAGCTACATAAAAATTGGGCATTTAAGGAAGTGATGCATCATCTAGCTGGCCAAATGTTTGATGGACTATCATGATTTGAATGCATTAGGCCTGAATTATAGTAACCTTCTGAATATGTAATCCAAACTGTCCTTTGTGACCGTCAGTTTGCAGACACTAAATAATGCAAAGAAGATTGCTGTCCCATATATTGTGCAGCATCAACACAGGTCAATATTAGTTCATCGCACTGCAGAGCATTAGTTTTACACCCAACAATCCAGTGCAATATTGTGCAGATGTGCACAAGGTTATCTCCCCATTAGTGTCCTTTCGAGTTGCTTTCCACTGACATCCATGTATGAAAATGTGCATCCTGTCCAAACCACACAGTTCTGGTGAGGCTCACGTCTCTAAAGCAGGAAATTCTCCACCTTGAATGCATTACTAGCGTTTGGCATAAACTTTCAAACCATAAATCAATTTTATAGCCTCTGATCACTTTGCTCTAGTAAGCCTTTGCCTCATGTGCCCACGAATGACATAGGATGTTTTAAGTATCTCCTGTTTATTGTTCATTATCTGTTTTGTGCAAACAGTCAGCAATTAATTACTCAGCAGGTTCAGATTTATACAGTAACATTGTTTAAGGTACATCTTCCTGAGAAATTCTGATGTCAAATCACTGCTATAAAAACGTTTCCAATTCGAAACACAACCGATTTTATTCACAAAGGTTTTAATATGTCATTCTTAAATGTCCTACAATATTTAGGCAACAACACCGACACAAATTTGCAGAGCAGATGGACCACTCATACAATCTTCTTTTCTAAACTTCAAAGTAATTTGATAGAAAAAGTCAATAAAAAAATGTAAACTACAACAAACAAATCACCTGAAATCCAGAAGTGTAAAACATAGATTTTCTCATAAACGCATAAATCCACAGCCTTACATTCACAATGCGCAACCTGCAGTGGGTTTTATCTGGGTGTGCCCTACGCTCACATTCAAAGTGGCAAATCTCAACATTTGTTTAAAAATTATGCTGCAACTGTTTCTCTGCTGCATGCACTTTTGATAAATGAGGCCCAGCGGGTGCAGTATATCTGAGAACAAATGTGTCTTACACGAAGCGTCGCGTGCTTCCCTACCTTGTAGGTTCGACAGGACGGATTGAAGGCGTTTGTTCCACAAACAAACAGGGTGTCACCGTTTTGCTGCAGGAGGACTTTGATGAAATTGTGACACTCATCCTTCAGGGAGCAGAGAGCAGGATAAAAGAACAAAACAGAGAGAAAGTGAGCGGTGTCATTTCTGTCTTTATACTTTCACACTAATAGCAACATTTGACTCACAGATCAATAAGTTTGTTCTTCCTTTTTTTTTGGCTTTCTGGTAAAGTACATGTCATCCATGTGTAGCAAACACTAACTTTTCATCAGGGGACGCAATGTTTTCAGCTGACTTTAATGGCCTTGTTTTTAATGAAACAATAAATCCTTTTGCATAAAATTACACGAATGAAAGATATGAAGATTCCCACTGATGAACTTTATAAATTATGTAAACCATAAAAAACAAGTGGATGCATCTTCAGGGTCTTATGTCAATGTCTGTGTGTGTGTGTGTGTGTGTGTGCGTGTGTGTGTGTGTGAAGAAAAACAAAATAGAGAGACTCGGTTATTAAATCTGATGTGAACTTGTGTAAAACGTGACATGTTCGTAAATTGTGATGAATGTGTTACCTTATGCTTTCCTTTCATTCGGCAAGTGTCCACGTCTGCCTGTCTGGACTTCCAGGTCATTTTCTGAGAAAAAAAAAAGAGCGAAATAATCGATGTAAACAGGACACAGAGAGAAGGAGAGTTTCTGAGAGTAAACAGACTAAACATTTAGGCGGGAAAAAAAGCCCGAGCAGACAGCTCAATATCCATCCATACAGGGATCAATAATCATCATCTGAGATTCCCCGTCATTGATTCCCCACATCAGGAAACTGCTCTGAGACCAACTTTATTCTGAGCACTGACGGATGATCTGTTTACTGCTCTGAAAACCTAATTTCTCTGCCAGAGAGGTGGAAGCACAACGCAGGCCGCAGATCAGAGCCGCTTCTATCCAAGGACAAATTCCACCCTATAGTCCACACCCTGATTAATCAATGCTAAGCCACATGCGCGATCATGCACCAACACTAACACACATGCACCATTCGTTGTGTGGCCTGAGGGTCAACGCTCAGCCACAGGTTCAGACCACCGTGCGCCCCGCCGCTGTTGTGAAGCATGTTTGGAGCTCAGCCGCTGATTAAAGACCCTCGGTCATCAATCAGTCTTCGCCTCTCCTCACCAGCCTTTCATCTGCAGCCCGCTCTCATTAAGACCCACTCACCGGGCTTATACATGTGGAGGAGACGGAGGGTGGTTGTGTACAAGAGAACGCCCTTGTTTTGAGCTTTGTTTGCATCTGTTATGTTAAGGCCAATGGATGCCAGTGAGGAGAGGGTAAAAAGAAGAAGAGAATGGACACTGCAGCAAAGGTGTGGTGAAAATATCAGATACTGTTTAAATATTTTAAATGGTTGAAGTTCCCTTTTGGTCAACATTAACAGTACTGTGCAGAAGTTTAAAACCGGCCTTTCTTGAATTCTTGATATTCTCTTAAGCAATATCTTTGCAGGCCTTCGAAAAAGCTGCCACAGTTTTGAGTGATTGGGTGTTTTTTTTTGTTTTTTCGCTGATTTTTATTCCAGGCCCGGTACCTGATTATGTTAGCATGTTCTGCACTTTAGATTGCAGTGCTGATAGTTTCTCGAGCACTTGAACAGCCCGAAAGACTGTTTTGAAAGCATCCGATAATGGACCAGAGATATGCATCATCTACTGTCTGCAAAGTTTTCAGCTAATTGCTCATCGGGAATCAACTTGGTGGAGCTAAAACAGATGTATGCCCACAAAAGTCTGTTATTTTCAGTACTGCTTTGGGACATGCTGCTGACAAGAAAGCAAACAACCAAATTGTAAAAAAATAAAAAATAAAAAAAAAAACAATGCGCAAAAAGATGTTAATTTGACATTTGAATCCTGAAGAAATACTGATAAAGACCATTTCAAAATATTAAAAGAAAGTCTGGCTCTTTGGAGCCAAAATATAAAGATGGCTGTTGACGTGTCTGCAGCGGCTGGGTTTTTGTTTTTGATCGTCTCCATAGAAACGTATCTGATAGCAAACAGTTTGACTACAAAATGATGCATTCACTCTGAAACATATATCTTGATGCTCTAGTGCGTATGTGAGTTTAACCTGTAAGAAGCCGAGACAATCATTAAACACCATGCAGAACTATTTGGTTGTCATGGAAACTGAACATAGACTGGCTGAGAGACATTGGTGTCCAAGGAATCACCCTAACCTTTCTTCATGCTGCCCTGTGGATAGCAAAAATCCATGATTTTTTTTTTTTTTTTGTGAAAAAGCATAAAAAAAGATGAATTCACTCAGCTTTGAAACGTGCCAAGATCCTTCCTATTAGCATCTGCTACAGCTCTATTAAACTTCCACCGTCCCACTGATGAGCAACGCATGACGCAGGCGGTTTGTTAACCGACTGATTGGATAATCGTCTTTGCGGGGTCACCATGGCAAGCTCACGTCTCTGAGCAGGTGTGTAAGAGTGCTGACGGGCACATAGACGGGAAGCATGCACACAACCACGTGTGCACTCAAGACACACAGAGCGAGGAGGGTTATTAGGGTTACGCTGTCAAATCACAGCACGACGAGTACAACCAATCCTCAGAGAGTCCCACGTCTCACTCACCTTACTGAAAAAGATCTCGTCACCGTTGGCAGTCTCCGTGTCCACTGTGTATATGTGATCCCTGCCAGAGGAGGAGGGAGGAAGAGAAATGGAGAGAGAGGGAGAAAAATGAGAAGATAAGAGGTCAGACAGCAACATACAGTCAGAAAAATCTACAAATAATAAGCCTGTGTTCTTTCTTCTTTCTCCATTTCCCCCCCGCAGGCAGCAAACAATGTCAAAAAAAATGGGACTTTGTATAAACTATGTTTAAACTTCAAAAAATTACAATAAACAAAAGGAGGCCAGAGCTATTTGCTCAGTCAGACAGAAACAGTCAACAAAGCTTTAGAGCGCTGCGGCGCAGGCCTGGGGACAAAAGCCTCTTTGTGCAGAGGAAAGGTCCTGATGGGGGGGCGATGGAGGAGGGAAGGTTGAGACGGGAGGTGCCAAGTCACTCAGAGCTGTTCAGGTCAATTAAGTCTGCTGTTTGAGCCACAGGAAATCTATACTAACACTCATTATTGCTCGGACGAGAAAACGTATGCGTGCTAGCCTGGAAACATAAAAGCCTCTCCTGTGTTACGCAGTCCAGCCATAAAAGCCCCAGCAGGGCATATGGAAGACATAAAACTCTGAAAGGTTAACCAGCTCTCAGACAGACCAACGTGTGGCTACGCCTCCCTTGGAGAAGGAGAGTCGAAGGTGTTGAGGTGGTGAGAACGGAACAAGAACAAAGAAAAAAAGGATTCATCTCATTTTCAGGAAAAAAAGGAGAAACAAGTGTGACGAATGATGTAACTGTTTTAATTTTGGTGGAGATTAGTTGCTGAGTGAGTTATTCTTTTTTATATCAAAGTGTGTAACAGTGGCATCGTCAGACTCGAGGTTTAATTACGTTCCAGCTCCCCAACCTGCGCTCAGACCGCCAGCCAGCCCCGCGCTCTCTCATTAACTAAATCTAATAAAGTCTTTGGAGTAACAGGCACCTTGAAATGAATCTACTTATATTGCCTTCTTGGGGGTGGGGGGCACGTCTGTGTCCTTGCGGACAAAACCCAGTCTTCACTATGACACACAAGGATCCATTTGAATAATTAATCTTTGGGAGAGGCTGGAATTAAGAATTAAGAATTAAGCTTTTTATAGGAGAAAACAGAGATGCCAGAGCTGCGGGTGCAGCCCCAATATCCATCACGTCCTGTGTCCTCAAACTGTGTCAGCGTCAGCTCTATCAGGGAGGTTACTAGTTAGGAAAGCAAAAATCAAATACTTCTAAAGTTTGAAGGTACAGTTAAGGTGCGGATTAAATTGAACCAAATATATTTGATATCTTAAATTCCCCCAGAGGGTTTTTTTTTTTTTTTTTTTTTTTTTTTTTTTTTTCCACAAAAACTTTTTTTTAAAAAAGGGTGGGAACCCGTTGGGCCCCATTCTAGGGGCCTTTT